ACACACACACACACACAGAAAGTAGATAAAACTGACTTTTAAGCAGAAGCCTTCCAGCCAAAACCAAGCTAGCCTCATTGCTTTTCTTGTGTGACATGACTTCCGTTTGATTTTGGCCCTTGTGCGTTTATTCTCTATTCTGGTCCTTCCTCATGTCTCATCTCATGAAGTCAAGGCAAAGCATGTCCAGCAGTCTTTGATATTCACAACTCTGGCCTGTACTCCTATGACTTCCACCCCACCCACTTATCTTTCCTTTTCACCCTCTGCAAGCCTTTGAATTTTTATTGTCCCTCCCTCCCCTCCACATTTCCATCTTCTGGTGATTGTCTGGTTGCTGGGGTGACCTTGCGAAACCAAAAGTAGTCTCAGCAATAGATCAGTGAGTTTTGAAAACATGCAGACACACAAAAGAAAGGAAGTCTGGGGTTACTGGGGTCAAAGCACACATGAAGAAATTCAGAGATGAAAGATGAGATTTAAGAACACTTTTCCACCCTCAGTGTATGCTTTTTGTGCACACGAACTCACCAGAAATGACAGTTTCAACCAGTAATAAGGAAAATGAACATGTAAGAAAGTCTTCCAGTTCCTGAAATAAAAATAAAAACTATAAATCAGCTTTATAATATAGGTTAAATGCATTTTGACCATCCATGGACGACACAGCATTGGGCAGAAAGGGCAGTGAAAACATTGCTGGCTGGATGAACTTCCTGTTTGAATGGGAGTGTCTTTTGCAGCATAGCAAGCAGACAGTAGTCGTTAACTTGAGTACAACCGGAAGGGAGACAGTAGGACAGTATAAAGGGTGGAGCAGCAACAGAGCACTAAATAGGAAACAAGTCATTTTCTCTGCATGGAGATGGAAAAGCGTACAGGAAAAGTTTCTCCCTTTCCAGTCTGGCACGCTCAATTAAATGCACCAACATGTAAAAGCATTAATGCAGGTTTGGTAGAGGTTTTTTTTTCTTTTCTCCAGTCGTTACATCGAATGGTGCCAATCAGTTGAACTGCGTGTTGATCATTTTCTTTGAAGGCTGCAGGACTCAGATTGTGGCATTGTTGTCTCAGCTCAGGAAGCTGACTGCAATTTTTAAAATAGCTGGAAGCCCGACCCTCCAACCTGACCTCCCTATCTGATGTCTGCGGCGCTCTCAGGGGCCGCTGCTGGGCTGACACAGCAGCTGTTTAGGAATAGGAGTGTGTATGTGTATGTAGTGCAGTGTGTGTGTGTGGCTCATTGCAGAGGAGTGAAGGTCAGGTGTGTTACATAGAGAGGAAGGCTGTAGAATCTGAAAGTGGAGGTTAAGTTTAACATTTTTTCACCCTCCCATTCAGTTTTGTTTTTGTGTGTATTAACTTCTTACAAATGCACTTTATTTTGTTATTGACATTAACATTCACTTTCATTTTTGCTTTATTACAGAGTGACAGGTTGTCCAGGTATGTTCTACCCCCCCTAATATTATCTTATTTCTTCTTTATTACCCTTTTTATTGTTGCTAAACAATTAGATTTTAAATGAACCCCTGTTGTTACTGTTGTAGGAATGAGATCACTTCATCCTCGGATCGCAATGACTCTTATTCTAGCCGTGGCTACGGTGAGAGTCGGAGGCCATACTCAAGCCGACTAGATAGAGACGACACCACTGACTACAAGAAGGTGTGTATTTCATATAAGTAGCTGTTTTGCGTTGTATTCCCGTGACTGGCAAATGATGCACGTTGACTCTTTTACACAGAAAGATTTTTAACATCATGATGTATGAAATAATCTATTTAAAAGACTGTGATGCTGAAGTCATGACTCATTGACTCATTCAGTGAGTCGAATGTGTGATCACCCCTTATAATTTGACTGCACAATCCAAAAAAGTACATGCCAAACTGTAGAAAATACCAAATTAAATAAAAATTGACAAATTTAAGCCAACATTTTTCAATATTTAGAACGCCTTAATTGTTCTACTTGTTGACTGTTGGATATGTTTGTCCCTCCCTTCAGCTCTACGAGCAGATCTTAGCTGAGAACGAGAAGTTGAAGGCCCAGTTACGTGACACAGACCTGGAGCTGGCAGACTTGAAGCTACAACTAGAGAAGGCCACACAGGTACGCTGAACTCGCACTTCTTCAGCTGACCAGTATAGATGAGATAGGATTCCCTATGACTCTGCTAACTTTTATTTTTCTCATTGCAGAGGCAGGAACGCTATGCCGACCGATCACAGCTTGAGATGGAGAAAAGGGTAATGACAGAACCAGATTAATAACTCTAACTATTAAATTTTTTGTTTAGTAACACCATGAACTTTACTGAAAAGATGTATAACTACTGTCTCAAGTTTATCTCAAACTAAATATAGAACTCAGAAGTCCTTCTGTCAGTTATTATCGACCTGCTTTAAACATGTTGGTAACACTGCCAATGGGTTTATGTCTAAAGGTAACAAGCAGGCCCCAATATCATCTGGGTGGTGGTATGATCTTAACCTGAGTTTTTGTATCAGTCTACTCTCTGCTGCTGGCTGTCGTGTCACACATGCCCTTGTAGCCGGGGTCAAAAGGGACTTCCTCCCTCTCCTCGCCACCCAGAACACTGCCACCTTCTCTCTCACCTGTTTTTGAACCTCAGAGCCAGCGTGTGGTCACCTCTTCTTAAGACTGCTTATTTTGTTATTTGTGTGTGTGTGTGTGTGTGTGTGTGTGTGTGATGCAGGAAGTAGAACAATTGTAGACTGTTCAATTGCTATTGAAAGAACCTGTGCATGTGTGTGTTTTCATGGTTTGTCTCACTCATTCCGTAATCATGCTGGCGTCTTCAGCTGCGTAGCCATGAAACCAATAACTCCATCGATTTGCTAAATTCATCCATTATTTGTAAGCCACGTTTAAGACCCTCCTTCGTGTGCCGTTTGTCGTCCCAGCCTTTTTATAATCCAAGTGTCCTTTTTTGGTGTTGAAAAAAGACATTCTGACCCCCCCCGTCCATGAGTCATTTCATTAACTTACCATCCAACACAACCTCTATAAACATCTACCTCCCCATTTCTTGACTCATTCCTGCCTTTTAAATTACATATAAATCACTGAATATGTAAGTCTGAACCGGCTGTTGCTTGCAGACGCCTCACAAGACATGCGTGTGTTCAAAGTGTGTGTGTGCGTGTGTGCTATCGCTACACCCTCACCGTCTTCCACACCTTATTTTATGCAGTGTGTTTTTAACACGTGTTTGCTGCTCATTGTCTCGACGTCTCGTGTCCTGAGTTAACCCCGCTGTCCTCCGCCCCACAGGAAAGAAGAGCTCTAGAAAGGAAGATTTCTGAGATGGAGGAGGAACTTAAGGTACCACCACGCACAGTCACACACGCTGCCTTATATTCTCAGTTCATGTTCAGTGGGGTTTAGAAGATTTCCATTAAAGGAGTCGGGATCACAGCTAGAATGTAGGTGGTACTTGTGAGATCCAGCATAGCGCTAACAGCTGTCACTTCAGTCTGAGTGTGCCTATATATAAATCTGGGTCCATTTTTTGGGGGGGTTTAATATGATTGGTGAGCCATCTCAAGTGTCATGGGTTTATTATGACATGGGTCTTACTTGAATTGTTTTACGATTGCTTCCATCGGTTATGATAAGATTGAAAGCGACATTTTTGGGTTCTGGGAAGACGGTGATGTCACTATAATGAAGTCTGACAGAGATAACTTATACCAACCTTTTATAGCAACCTTCCCAGATCTAGGCAATTAACATCTTGAGTGCAATATTGTTATTACCAATAGGAATTATGGGCTAAACTATTAAAAACAGGACCCTGGTTGTATGAAAATTTAATTTTCCTTGAGATTATCTGTATGTACATTATATCTGTTTGTATGGAGCCATTAATACGAAACAAATGCCATATCTTTGATAAACAAAATATAACCACCACAGGCATCAAATACATCACTTGCTGTTTCTGAAAGTAGACAAAGAAAAGTTTTGAACTAAAAATACTGCATTGGCCCGAATATAAGACAGATTAGTCCTGTTGGGGAAAGTCTACAGAGATTTAAATTTATTTCCCCGGTGGCAGCAAAACCAGTTCCACAAACACTTTCATAAAGCTGAATAACTCTACAAACAACCCCTGATGGGTCTTTCCTTTCTAGAAATATTTATATTCTGCCCGATACGCTACCTCACCTCTGTTCACATGTTAGAATGCTAAATGTTCACATCTCTTATTCTGTTCAGGCACATCTCAGCTCAGCTCTCTGTAATCTATGTTGACGTAACATTTAAGCTCTTCTATTGAGACAGCCAATTAAATGTTCCTTTTTCTTGAAAATTTAGGAGGAAAGAGGAAAAAAAAATCCATTAAATTCTAGTAAGCGAGTGTTGTTCCCGTCGCTGTGATAACGAAGTGTGTTTATTTTTAGGTCGTAGACAGCTGGCTGATCTTATCAGTGTCACTTTTCCATTCTATCTACAAGCATCACGCTGAAGCGGAAAGCTCTTAATCATTCCTTCGGTTTCCAAAATCTGTCCCCATTTTCTAACAATCTTCCTTTTCTGTTTTCCCTTTTTCCTTCTTTCGGCCCCTCTTCTCTATTAATTTATACCGTCCTGTCTTCCATTAATCCTTTTCTCTCCTTATTTGTTTCTTGAAACACATCTTTTTCTTTTTTTTTTCTCCTTCCATCCTCTCTGCCTCCTCTCTCTCTCTCCCTCTCAGCGGGCGGCCCCTCCGTCTCTCGGTCTCCCCTCTCGTCTCCTAGGCCTCCTCTCTCTCCGCCTCGCGTGTCCGTCTCACCTCCGCTCTCTCGTCTCTTCCTCTCTCTCAACATCTCCGTCCTCTCCTCTCACCTCCGTTCGTCCTCTCTCGTCTCTCCTTCTCTTCTCCCTGTCGCTTCGCTGGTTGTTGTTTTCCCCCCCTGCAGAACCTCCCCCAGGTAAAGCAGGTTCAGGCCCTGCGGCAGGTTAAAGAGCGGCTGCAGGCCGAGAACCGGGCCCTGTCCCGCGTGTTGGCAAAGCTCTCGCAGTCCGCCTGCAGCCAGCTGCCCACCGTCGACCTCTAAGCCACGTCCGTCTGTCCACCACCATCTCCTCCTCTTCTTCCTCACTTTCCCACCCCCCTTCCCAACCCCATTCTCATGCTCCATTCGTGCTCTGCCCGCACCCATAGACAGGCAGGTGCCCAGCCGCCCAACCATCACTGGTTTTGTAAACTTTCCGTCCCCCTCTGCCTCCCCAGAGCTTTTGGTTTTCAGATTGGGGAGGGTGTCTTTTTTTTTTTTTTTCACAACAGGACACTCTCCTTTTACAGTACACAACTAGCAGGTGATTTCCAGCTCATGAAAACATCCTTAATATGTCAAAGTAACCAGCATATATTAATAACAGGTGGAGATAAAGCTTATGTAAGTACCGTTTCAGGCCAGGAGGTGTCTAAATTGACTTAATTATTAACAAACACATCAAGTGCTGTAAAGTAAAGTGTCCTCTTTGTAGTTTTTAGTAGTGATGCTTCCATCAGAGGGAGCTCAGTTGTTCCGTTTGGCTTGTTCTGGCTTCCTTGCATGAAGTGGCATCCTCATTTTGGCATCAACTTTTTTGACCCAAATCTCAAGACTGAACCTTTTTTTTTCCTCCTCCTTTTCCCCCCCCCCCCCAAATTTTAAGTTGACTGATGACATCAACAAACATTAAAGTCAGCTGCATGCACCAGCAGGTTTATTTGGACAAAGGTTTAGCACCGTTCCCGATCAGTATGGAGAACTGCAGAACAGGATGGACGGTTTCAACTAGCAGTTGATTGTCATCCCTAATCAATTAATGAGCTTGTTTTTTTTTAAGGGGATTGAAATATCTTGTTGGAGTCTCAGTGTTGTGTATCAACAATGATTTCTACCTAAAGTCCTCACCGCCACAGCTCGTGTACATCTGTTTAAAATAAGAGTCAAACATCAGTTTACATAGTAGTATATGCTGTTGAATTAAAGACATCCCTCTACTCAAATAGGTGGATTTTCAATAGCCATTATGTTTTTATTAGAGAGATTTAAGTTTACAGAATCAGTATTCTACAGCAATCTGACTAATGTTAAACCTGAGAATCTATGACTCAGCACTTCAGACTATATAAGTCAATACAACAATTCACCTATTATGGCTCATTATAAACATCCACAGAGTTATCTGTTGTTGTCTATGTTGTCTGGCTATCAGACGTTAAGGATACTATGGAACCCGGCAGGTGTCATGAGGGAAAATATCCATTCTGCTCTTGAATTATTTACACATAAATTAATAATTAATGTGCACAAATGAACAGAACGTAGCATTAAACAATCACATTGACGTTTCAACATGTTAGTTTTTCCTCCTGGGAATCATTCCAGTTTCCTCTTATCTTAACATAAATTTAAGTGATGTCCCAATGCTGTTTAACAAGCTAAATCTGAAGTATATCCACGTTTCTCAATCCAAATTCAAAAGACAACATCATTTAGATTAGCTTATCCTTTGGCATGACAACTTTCACTTTCTGTTTTGCACTGAGTTAGAGTACACAGCGGTGAACAGTATGTGCACCTAACTACAAAACTGAAACAACACCTAAGGTGGCATCACAACTGTGTAACTCCCGCTAACACCCGGAGTGTCCACAACAACCTGTAACTGAAAGCTGTTACTTATCAGTGTTTTCAAGAGCATCATTTCCTTATTTGTTCAAAAAAAAAA